TGTGTTTTAAATGTGTGGTATTCAGTAGGTGGACAGCAAACTAAATGCCCTAAATTTAGACTAAATAAAAGAAAGCAAACTATTTAAAAAAAATTACTTTATGTGCTGATGGGTCTTTGGATGATATACAGTGGTACCTCTGGTTACAAACGCTTCGCGTTATGAACTCCACTAACCCGGAAGTAGTTGCTCCGGGTTGCGAACTTGGAAATCGCACAGCAGTGGCAGGAGGCCCCATTAACAAAAGCGTGCCTCAGGTTAAGAATGGTTTCGGGTTAAGAACGGACCTCCGGAACAAATTAAGTTCGTAACCCGAAGCACCACTGTACACTTATATATATTAGGATTTGAATTGCCTTTCTGCATGCTTATGTTAACAAATATCATGGGTTTTTTCCAGTTCCTCTTACATCTATGATCATTTTAAGGGACATTGCATTAATTGCTGCTGTTTTTTACGTGCGATACAGAACTCTTCCTCCACCAGTAAGTAAGCAGGTGTTTGTTTTGACTTTTTAAATCATAGTCACACCTTATTTGTACCAAGGGGGGTGGGATATAAATAGTTAAATTACTATTTAAATTATATTATTAAATATGAAGATGAAAAATGATTGCGTTGCCTTTCTAAATGCCTTAGTTGATTCTTACCAGCTCACATGCTTATTAGACTTTTCTCCTCAATAGTATTACAAATCAAACTTTCTGTCTTCCACAGAGAACACTTAGTAGATATTTCAATCCATGTTATGCCACTGCTCAGTTAAAGCCAACATTTATCAGCAAGGTAAGAGCAATTGTACATCTTTCTATTCATTTGATACCTAGTCTATGTCACTATGCAGCACAGTTGGGTATGGATGTTTTTGTACTATTCTCTACCATCAACAAGCCCCAGTGAAAGTATGAGAGAGGACTTGGGTGAGGGCTCCAAGTTCTGATTTGGCAGTGTGGGTTTTCTTCCTTTAAATTCTGACATCTCTTGTAAAGGGACCAGTATGGGATCCCTTTAGGAGATATCTGTGCTGCCTTAACGTCTCACTAGTGAAAAATGTTTATTTAAGCCAGGCTTAGGCGAACTCCGGCCCTCCTCCTGTTTGGGACTACAATTCCCATCATCCCCAACCACTGGTCCTGTTAGCTAGGGATGATGGGAATTGTAGTCCCAAACATCTGAAGGGCTGGAGTTTGCCTATGCCTGATTTAAGCCTTCACTTTGCAGAATCCTGTTCTTTATGAGAAGTTAATTTCAGCTGGGGTTTACTTCCTGGCCTGGTTCAAACATAACAATAAACCATGTTTATGCATTACTTGTGTGAGTCACGGTTGGTGAACTCCTTTTACAATGAGGTGAGGAGGTGTGAATGCTTCTGTTTTACATCATACAAAGTTTTCTGTTAATGTCTGAACTTTAGAAACTCTGGTTCATTCATACAACAGTTTAATCCTGATTTATTTAAGCAACTACAATAATCTGCAGTTTCCCGAGTTTGAACAGGAAATTGTCGTTTTTTAAAAACTGAATTGGTCCCCTAATGTTCATGGTGTCAGGAAAACTGCAGGAATTATTTCTCACATTCTTTGTTTTATTTTTCAAATGTTTAGCCTTTAATTTACAAATTTTCCTTACTGCTAAAAGTGTAGCACTTTTAGTTCCCGTTGATTTCAGGGTGGAAAAGGAATGTTAATGTGTGACTTCAGTTTTCACGTAATCTCTCACCAGATGAACACGGTAGTCCAGCTCATTTTAGTGGCAGCTTCTTTAGCAGCTCCGGTTTTCAATTATGTGGACAGTATGTATCTTCAGACCTTATGGTATGTAGACCTTATACCGTATTTTTCGCCCTATAGGACGCACCGGCCCATAGGACGCACCTAGTTTTTTTTGGGGGGGGGGAGAAAAAAATTATTCCCCCCCCCCCAGCCGCGGGACTGGGGCTGCGGAAGCCCGAGCTTTTAAAAACGCACCTACCGTAGTTTATAGAGGAGAAAAACAAGGGCAGCAGGCTCCCTAGGCTGCGGATATCTGCCCGAAGCGCGAGGCGCTCTGCTTCCGCGCGCCCCGCGCTCCAGGCCGCAGGCTGCTATCCGCAGCCTAGGGAGCCCTGCGGGAACTCCCGCAGGCTCCCCAGGCTTACTGATAGCTTCCTGAAGCCTGAAGAGCGAGAGGGGTCGGTGCGCACCGACCCCTCTCGCTCTCCAAGCTTCAGCGAAAGCCTGCATTCGCCCCATAGGACGCACACAGATTTCCCCTTCATTTTTGGAGGGGGAAAAGTGCATCCTATAGGGCGAAAAATACGGTAATTGTTATGATACAACTGATTTGTGGGGGAACAGGCAATTCTGAAAGAATAGGATGCAAATGAAGGGATCCTGAGCAGTTTTGGACATCACCGATTTGTATGGTTGCTGAAATCACGCTACTAGTGGCTGCAAGCAACCAAGTTAAAGCAATTGCAGGTCAATTCTAGGCATTTTAAACTTCGCGTAATCATGTGCATAGGATTATATTCAGAGTTACTACTTATGCTGAATTGGTATGTGGTCAATAAATTTAGGACTAGAATTATCTCTAGGCAAGCAGCGCTACCTTGGCTCCTCATGCAGTATCTGGCGGTGGGAAAAAAAGGCCTTCTTCCCACCTCCCGCCCCGCAAGCTCCGGGGACAGGAGGGCTTTGCTGCCGACCGCCAGCATTTTAAAAGCCCCTGCTGTCCCGGGGCGATTTTAAAATGCTGGCGGGCGGGAGCGAAGTCTCTGCTGTCCCGGGGAGATTTTAAAATGCTGGGGGGCGGGAGCGAATGCTTCGCTCCCGCCTGCCAACATTTTAAGATCGCCCGGGGCAGCAGAGACTTCTCGCCCAAAGCAAGGGGAGCTCTCCGAAGGGCTCCCCGTGCTTCGGGCGACAGGCTGCCGCCCCAAGCCTCGCGCACCCGGTGGGACCTCCTGCCGGGTGCGCGAGGCTTGCTGACACTCGCCCGAAGCAGGGGAAGCCCTCCGGAGGGCTCCCCGTGCTTCGGGCGACAGGCTGCCGCCCTAAGCCTCGCGCGCCCGGCGGGACCTCCTGCCGGGCGCGCGAGGCTTGCAGACACTCGCCCAAAGCAAGGGGAGCTCTCCGAAGGGCTCCCCGTGCTTCGGGTGACAGGCTGCCGCCCCAAGCCTCGCGCACCCGGTGGGACCTCCTGCCGGGCGCGCGAGGCTTGCAGACACTCGCCCGAAGCAAGGGGAGCTCTCCGAAGGGCTCCCCGTGCTTCGGGTGACAGGCTGCCGCCCCAAGCCTCGCGCACCCGGCGGGACCTCCTGCCGGGCGCGCGAGGCTTGCAGACACTCGCCCAAAGATTTTAAAATGCTGGGGGTCGGGAGCGAAGCGTTCGCTCCCGCCAGCATTTTAAGATCGCCCGGGGCAGCGGAGAAGTCTCCGCTGTCCCGGGAAGGCAGGCGGGGGGAGCAAAGACTTTTGCCCCCCGCCGGCCTTCAGAAGAGGTCCAGGACCTCTTCTGAAGGCCGGCTGTGGGCGAAAGTCTTTGCTCCCGACCGCCAGCAATTTAAAACAGGTCCCCGGAGATTTCCCTATGGGCTTTCGTCTTGCGAAGCAAGCCCATAGGGAAATTCGTCTTGCGAAGAGCCTCCAAAACAGAATGCGAGGCATTCGTCTTGCGGGGTACCACTGTAAAATAATACTGACCTAAAGATTCCCTCATTGCAGGGGTTGGGCGAAAGTCTTTGCTCCCGACCGCCAGCAATTTAAAACAGGTCCCCGGAGATTTCCCTATGGGCTTTCGTCTTGCGAAGCAAGCCCATAGGGAAATTCGTCTTGCGAAGAGCCTCCAAAACAGAATGCGAGGCATTCGTCTTGCGGGGTACCACTGTAAAATAATACTGACCTAAAGATTCCCTCATTGCAGGGGTTGGTCGGTTCTCAACCTGTGGGTCCCCAGATGTTGGACTACAACTTCCATCATTCCTGAGCTCTGGCCTTACTAGCTACGGGTGATGGGAGTTGTAGTTCAACAACATCTGGGACTCTACATGGAAGTGTTTAAAGTGGGGTAGCAAGATGATATACGTGAATCAATTTAGAAGTACAGTGGTGCCCCGCAAGACGAATGCCTCGCAAGACGGAAAACCCGCTAGAAGAAAGGGTTTTCTGTTTCGGAGGCGCTTCGCAAGACGAATTTCCCTATGGGCTTGCTTCGCAAGACGAAAACGTCTTGCGAGTCTCGCCATTTCCCCCCCCCGCTTTCCCCCCCTTTTTCAAAGCCGCTAAGCCGTTAATAGCCTTTTAACAGCTTAGCCGCTAAGCCTTTAATAGCCGCTAAATCACTAATAGCGCTAATCCGCTTAATGGGGTTGCTTCACAAGACGAAAAAACCGCTAGACGAAGAGAATCGCGGAACGGATTCTTTTCGTCTTGCGAGGCACCACTGTATTATGATGGAGAGGCCCCTGGACCGTATACTTATTAACCCTGCAATGCACAAGGTCTCTGGTTCATTCCTCTTCAGCTCTTGGGTAAGTAGACTGCGAAAGACCTACAAGAGCTGCAGCCAGTGAAAGTAGACTCTCACCAGTGACCAGATGGGTTGGTGATCTAGCTTATTATAAGGAAGATTCAGATGTTCATATTTTGGCTTAACTAGATTTTTGTTTGGGCTTCCAGAGAGCTCAGTGTTAAAAATCAGCTTCGGCTGCTGTAGGAGAACTTTGTTCTATTCACGACAAGTCAAACATCCCTTGCCCTTACCTACCCTTCTTTACTAGCGAGCTATGGTACTTTTTTCTCCATGTGTTTCCTAGGGAACTAATACGATTGTTTCCTCCCTGAAGGTGCATCACAGCTTTCACAACAACAGCATCTGCTTACAGTTACTATCATTATGGCCGAAAAACAGTTCAGGTACTAAACAGCAAATGAAGGCTCTGAGTGAGTTGCTTACTTCCTGCTCAGTTTGTGCTGGGACGGCATTGCCTGCATTATATTTGGACTGTGGATAAAGAACAGATAGCTTTGTCTCAGTGGAAACCATGTCTTCACATTGAAGCTAATCGGAAGTTAAAATGAAGTTTTGATCATGTAAATATGCAGAATTTTCAATGTACTTTTTTCAATTTGTTACAAATAAAATATAATTTTTTACCTTAATGCACAAACACTTGCCGAGATTATCACCAGATGGTTTTTGCTCATTGCTTTTCTGAAGTTTTCACTTATTGGGGGGGTATTGCTATGCTACACTCCTTGATGTATCTGAATTCAACACATCACAGCCCCCTTCCATTTCATTGTTTTTAGGATGTGGGGCAAACGGAAGCCTACATCTTTACTCTTTTGAAAGTCACGGTCCTTTGGTATAAGTCTTCCTGATTATCTTCCCTACACTGTTGATAAAAATGTTCAAACTAAAACCTTGAACCACCCTTCTTAATAGTCTAATGTTTAGGAAAGGGCAGCCTTTGTTATGCAAGGACATAGTAAATTATGATGTGCGCTAACCTTGTGACTCTCGTATAAATGTTTAGAATTGAATTGCTGACTAAGCAAGGCAACCCTGAACCTTTGGGCAAGATATAAATGGTCTCCACAAATTAGATATGATGATTAAATGTGTTGAAATAGTGAAAAAGTTGGTGTAGCATAGTAGATAAAATTGATGGATGAAGTAGTAGATGGAGCTGCTAATATTGCCAGGACAGATGCTCCTCTTGTTACCTATATGGTACAAGAGTTTGGTTGCCCATATTCAACAAATAGCACAACACACAATGTTCAACATAACACAATAAAATAAAGGTAGTGAAGTTAAAACTAAGAAAGGACTTACAGCGTGGTTAGCTTATAGGATGTTGAAAAGTCCACTGATGGAAAAAACATGAAGGGATTAGGACATACAACTCTCAAGTTCAGGGTTTTGTTAAAAACCTAGACTTTTAATGGAAGTTGATAAAACTCTGGGCAATGTCACAGGTGATCTCTAGGACTTCTGTAGCTCAAGCAAGTATTCTGCATTAGCGGTCAGTAAAATGAATATGCTAGTTCTTTTAAAAACTGCCTCCTACTATTCTATTAAATTTCCCGTTTAAAACATCAGACATGGAAGATAAATGATGGCCTGTCAGAGCACAGTCCCTCTATAGGCATGTGGTCTTTTGCATATGGTGAGCAAGATGACCTGTAAAAGGTTTTATAAACTGAAAATGAACTTTTGCATGTTGGATTATGCTGCTATCTCACCAGAAGTGAATTTATTGTGGAATCAAAGGCTTGATGGAGTATAAAAACAATTTTAATATGTTTGATATATTCTAACTTGTATAAAGAAATTATATTGAAAAGATACTTGATAGTTTATGTAACCTCAGAATGCTGCAGTCCAGTTGTGTTGCAGTGTAAGAAGATAAAGAAGCTTTTTAAGTTTATCAAGACAAAATAGAGCATGATGTACTGTAGAAGCACTCAGGTACATTCTTACAACTGGACAAGAATAGATACCACATGTCTCAAATGTTTTAAAGAGAACTGAAAAATGATGTGAAGGCTTGTCCATAGTCAGTGCCTCTGCACTTTTAAAATAAAATTTTCTATGACTCAACTATTGGTGTCTAATTGTGCTGCTAGTTGTTATCCAGCTCCTATGGTAGGAATAACGTGAAGATGGATTGGCTTTCTAATGTGGCTTCTACACATTTATTCTAGTATCTTTATCTCACTGGTAGATTAATCTAGCTGCTGCTAGTATTAACTTAGCCTGATCTCTCTTCACTACTGTGTGCATCTGCTTCCAGCCTGACCACTTATTTGATACTGCAGATCACAACATCATAATCACATAACCAGGCTGTTCCAGATAAATAGAGGGTGCTGCTAGGAACAACCACCTTGCAAAAAGGCTTTTCAGACCATGTAAAGCCAATATAGTGATGAAAAATTGCACGCTCCATATTTTGTTCTGAAACCTGATGTAGGATTGAAATTCATAACATGGCATTGTGCAAGGGACACAATGGACAGGATTCCACTAATGAGTCACGTTAAAGAAGGTGGTAGCAGCATCTGACTGGGGCTCAATTTTCTGGCAGCAGGCTCATGGCCAACATTGGAGGAAGTGGGAGGTACTTTAGGGAGCTGCAGGGAGAAGGAATAATGGGGGTGGAATTCCCCCCCCCAAAAAAAATTTAGATTCAACCCTTCCATTTTTCCAAAACTAATTTCCAATAACCATGTTCAAAAAAGTCTTAATGAATACTTTAGTTTTTTAAAGACACTTTCAAAAGCAAAGAAATACTTTCCTGTTGCCTATTTCTCCTATTTATTTACTGTACTTATGCAAACAACAATTTAAATTCTGGAAAGACGCTCACAGAGAAGGAAAGGTATTTTAAACTGTTTTCGTCCCTTTTGCTGTACAAAAAGGCAAATGCCATCAAATAGATTATTTTTTTTGCCACTCCTGTTCACCTTTATTTTAAGGAGTAATCAAAAGCAGGGTTTTTATACGAGACAAGGTGTGTATTATAATGCTCAGTGTGGGGTCCTTTACACTTTTTGCAGAGACACACTGACAGCAAGATGGTAGCAATAAGAAAGAATCCACTCGTTGCACACAAAGCGGCAAAGATAGATTTGTAGCTGGACTTTGTTTTAAAGGAACCACATGGAGAACTGGGCTCATTCCAATCTGCAGTCTGGCTCAATCCTGCCTTGTTTGAAGCCATTATGCACACTTGGTAAGTTGAGCCAGGCAGGAGATTGTACAGTGTGTATCGCCTAGCCGTGGCATAAATCTCTCCAGATACAGTGAAATTCTGGCTGTCCTGAGGGCGGTAAGCAAGCTGGTAGAACCTTACTGCTGAATATGGGGCACACCAGCAGACCTCTGCTGAAGTGTCCCTAATTTCAGATATCTCGCGGAGCCTCGGAGGATCTGGGATGGTGAATTCATCAGAGATCCCCGGGCACAGGCAAGGAGACAACAACTGGAGATCAAAGCAAGGCTTTTGGAGGTGTCTGCATGGATCGTAATCACAAGGCCCAAGGCCCTGAGCCACGAATTCCTCCGCCTGCTTATCGTAGTCATAATAATCTTCGTAAGATCTTGGACTGTTACGAGTGGTTGCAAGATTCAGAAGAGGGACTGCTTTGGTGGGGCTTTGCAGTGGTGGTGTAGACTGAGCTGGCCTTACCGTATTGTGTGGGATCAACAGAGAAGAATCTGCCGCTGCTTCTTCTGCTGTAGGACTGAGCGGAGTGAAGTGGGACCATGTTTCGTCCATGTGGCCAATCGAACCATCCACTACTGTGGTGCCGTGTTTCCTTTGATTCATTTCAGTCATGCTCACTGGGGTTGGATCAAAAGAGAGTTCCCCCAGAGTTCTTGAAGAAGCTGCTGTGTGAAGAGCTGCTGCGGTGGGTGGGCCGTCTGTAGATCTGCCAAATGTTTTATCTTTGTAGGCAAGAATGTCTGGTTCGGTTGGAGCCTCCTTTGCTGTATCTCCCCAAGTCAAATGAGGGCACTGAGGAGAAGAAGGGCTGCTGGGCCATTCTTGGGGAAACGTACTGGAGTCTGGAAGGGTGTCTGTCGTGAAGCTGGGAGACGTACCATAAAGCTTGACTTGAGTGGAGTTGGAAATTCTTTGCCTTTGGCACTCCGTGTAGAACTCGGACAGCAGCATACCTCCAGATGCTGCTTTGGCCTCTGGGTAGCACAAAGTTTCTGATGCCCTAATATATGGGAAACAAGAACAGTCGTCATTAGGCACTGGAAAGAGATCAGTATTGTCCTCAGCATAATATCACTCAGATATATATCCATAGTTTGAGACAGCGGCATTTATTTGCATGCACGAGTGTTTCAGACCATTATACCAGGTTGGCCAGCCACAGGCTGACAACTCAGTTTAGAAATGTAACCTAATTGTAATAATTCTAGAATCCAAGAACTGTAATCCTCTCATCAACAATATTCCAGTGCATATTTCTGGTGCCTAAACTTAGCCTGCATGTCATTTTCTTGAAAGATACAGTGGTGCCTCGCAAGACGAAAAGAATCCGTTCCGCGATTCTCTTCATCTAGCGGTTTTTTCGTCTTGTGAAGCAACCCCATTAGCGGCTAAGCGGATTAGCGCTTGTCAGGGGTTCAGGGAGAGAGGCACAGATGAGGGAGGAGACTGAGAGCGAGGGGGAAGAATCCCGAAACGAGGAGGAGGAGGATGACAATGACTTGAGGGTTTCCATGAGTCTTTCAAGTGAATTGGAGGATTCCCAAAAGGGGGCGCCCCTGGTCAGGCCAAGGGGAGCCACAGGGGGGACTCGTCAGGAGCAGGGGAGCAGCAGGGGAACCCCGAGTGGGAGTTGGAGATCGGGGCCGGCTTCCCCGCCGGAACGGAGTGAAGAGGGTGGAGTTCCCAGTGTGACAGACGAAGCAGAGCAGGAAGCAGAGAGGGGAAGGAGATCGGGGCAAGACGTCCTGCCGGAAGGGGCGGAGAGTAGTACGGAGAGTAGTGTAACTGTCAAGAGGAAGGTCAGAGGTAGCGAACGCGCGCCAAGTTCAAATGTGGAGGCGCGCGGAAATGCGGAGAGCCCGGAGGAGGAGCCTGGTCCCAAAGCACGGAGGAGGGGGGAGCAGGCGTCTGGGGACTCAGCGTCAGGGGAATCCAGGAGGGAAGGAACCCAGGGGGGTAGAAAGACCCTGCGGAAAAGGAAGGACAGGAAGAGGTGGACCAGCACAAGCCTCTTAAACTGGTGTAGAGGCGGGACTGATTCAGAGGGGACTTCAGCGGTCTAAGCGTAACAGACGTGGGGCTGCGCGCCTCGGCTGTGGAGCAAACAATGTTCTTCAATAAAAGCTTTTGTAAATAAAGTGGACTTGGCGTTGGTCTCTTGTGAGCTGGGACCTGAGGCGGCCCTGACAGCGCTATTAGCGGTTTAGCGGATTAGTGGCTATTAAAGCCTTAGCGGCTTAGCTGCTAAAAGGCTATTAGCGGCTTAGAAAAAGGGGGGGGAAGCGGGGGGGGGGGAAATGGTGAGACTCGCAAGACGTTTTCGTCTTGCGAAGCAAGCCCATAGGGAAATTCGTCTTGCGAAGCGCATCGCAAACGGAAAACCCTTTCGTCTAGCGGGTTTTCCGTCTTGCGAGGCATTCGTCTTGCAGGGCACCACTGTATAGTGAAACTGATGGATATTTGAGCACATATCCTTAAGCTGATGCTCTTAAATATGTGCTCTTAAATTCTTAAATAAATATGTGCTCTTAAATATGTGCGCTAGCCACACAAAAACTGAAATGAGGCTATATTAGGGAGAGATTTTTTTAAAAAAAATTAAACCAGCATTTCCCCAACCTGCTATCCTCCAGATGTTGTGGACTCCAGCATAGCCAACGTTGGTGAGGGAAGACGATAAGTGTTTTCCAAAACATCTGGAGGACAATAGATTTGGGAAGGCAATTTTCATTCACCTGTAGCGCTTGTTGCTATGATATGCTCGGTCTTATCTTTGCCGCCACTAGAGTAAGACATTTCTTTATAGCAAAAGGAAAGAGATGAGAGCAGGAGTTTACAAGCAGCACCACAGACTGCCAACAACGTAGCTTGAACCAACTTCTAAATTTCTCCTTACCTCTGTAGAAGTATTCTGTCTGGCTTGGAGAGTAGCCAGGAAAGATCACAACTACACACCAAAGGGTTGCCATAGAGGTCGATCCTTACATTTTGCAGTGAGCTGAGACTCCATGGACTGAAAGAGCTCAAATTGCAGCTGGAATAAGAGAAACTAGGTCAACCAACGTATGGGCTGTCGTTTAAATAGCTAATTCTCTTATCAAATTACATGCAGTTTCTGCCTTCTCCAGAGCAGAGTGATTATTTTTTAAAATATTTTTTTATAATCCATTTGCATTCCACCTTCCCTTCCAGAAACACCCAAGACAGCTAACAATGTATTAGATCAAACCCACATCAGGCCTGGCCCACCTATGAGGCAAGGTGAAGCGACTGCCTCAGGCGGCAGGATCCACAGGGCCAGCAGACCTGGCCTCCAAGGAATTCTTCAGCTGCAGCGCATTCCTTGGAGGCTGGATTTGCCACCTCCTGGGCAGCCTCACTCCATGCCGCTTCTACAACAACCTCTTGACGAATAGGAGGCGCTGCTAGTCTCCTCCTGCCCTTGTTCCTAATGTAGATCTTCACTCAAAATGGTGCCATTTTGTGCTTTACCTCAGGTGCCAGACTATTGGACCAGCACATGCACACACACACATGTATGCACACACACACACACACACACACAGAGAGAGAGAGAGAGAGAGAGAGAGACAGATCAGTTCAAAAACTTGTGTAGGAATACACGTTGAAACGGAGAAATAGAAAATCTAAAATGTCTGATGATGTATGAACCCTAAATCATTCTGATAGAAACATAACAACATTTGGTTTTCATTCAGGATCCAGAGTTCAGTCTTGCCCCTTACCCAGAAAATACAAACCAGCTTAAAACCAGATCAATAAATAACTGAACAAATGTTTTTACGGGTGGCTTTCCTACCTGAAGTTAACTTTCAATGCATCTCTAGGTAGCAAAATGTCCCCAAACAAAGCCATGTGCTAGAGTCAGAAGAAAGGTGGGCACGCCTGCTTCCCTGCATCTGTCTTAGTTTTTGTGAGAGGCATTTTAAACACATTAACATTAGCTAGGAGAGCGGGGAATGGGACCACAGTGGCCAAAAATCAATATTTTTAGACAATTTTTGTCCTAAGGTCTTTTTGTTTTCAAAAAGCAAACTCTGCCTGGGCCCTTAAATTTACATCACTGGATTACATTTTGCTGGAAGATCCTTACCCAAACACTTTTCATTTGATGGGGACAAAAAAGATCCCCATAACTGGTTTTCTTTGAATACTTTTTGGCTCCAGAAACATTTTGCATACAGAAGGAAAACTGAATCGTAAATGACTACTTTATAGGTCTACATCAGATTAAATTCTGTAATGAAAAGCGCTGTGCGTGTGTGCGTGTGTGATTTTAACCCCTATGTTCCCTTCCACCATTACAGAATCAGTCCGTTTAATGTCGTAATAATTTATCAGATTATCAGACCACAGTCCTACAACTGAATTCAAGTCCTAACAATGTCCACCTGTGCTTACAAGCGAAGCCTGGTGTCAGGGAAATCCTCAGAGATAGGACAACTTACTTTTGGAATATGAGGAAAGCCAAGTGAGGCATGTGTCTGAAAGACTCTGTTTCCACCAGACTGAGGGCACGGGAATATCGGCAGTCCAATACCCTCAGCTCAGGAAGATGCAGGAAGGTGTCGACATCAAGGCTGCTCAGCCTGCTCATATTTCTTAAATAAAGGGATGAGAGCCTGGGCAGATCTTTGGTCCAGTTCTGATGCACTGAGGGTCAAGCGGAAGACAAACAACAAACATATTACAGAGGAAACTCCCATTTCACATACAAGCAGCCTTCATGACATCACCACATTGGCAAAACAGTTGAAATCCTTACAGCCATTGTCTCCTCTTTCCCCCCACACCCTAAGTGTTTGGTGCTTGACGCTTTCCTCTTAGGTTTCGGTACTTACATCTCTCCAGATAGGTTGCGCTCAGGTCCAGCAGGTGGATATCACTGCCTGCATTTTCGGTGGCGTCCCCAGGCAGGAAGATTGTTGCAAAGGCAGATTCCTTAATCCCCTCTTTCCCATCCTTCCCCAGCCAAGTAGAAGACAAGTTCAGGAAATGCAGCTGAGGATAGCAGGAAAAAGCCAATGGCTGGATTTCGACAATGGGGTTTCCAGCCAGAGAAAACCACTTGAGGTTCTGCAGAACAGATGCATTGCATGCGGGCACAACTGATAGCAAATTGAAGCTCAGGTCCAGGAACTGGAGGCGGCTGAGGTTCCTGGCATCCCATGTCACTTGCTGAATCTTATTCTGCCTCAGGGAGAGGGATTGCAACATTGGCAAGTCAGCCACCTCCTGGCTGTTGAATTCAGGCAAGAGGTTGACACTCAGGTCCAAATGCTCCAGAAGCTCAGGCAGGCAGGCAGGGAAAGAAGTCAGGCTCTGATTTCTGTGGTGGAAGGAGGCCCATGTCTGGGCACGCAGATCCCCACAGGACAGGCTACTGAGGTTGACATTTTCCTTCCAAGCGTTCGGCTTCAACTGGAAAAGGATTTTCGCATCTCCAGCAGCTGTAGATCCCGTTTCCTTCGTTGGCCTACTTGGCACTTCCCGTACAAGGACTAACAGGCAGGCAAGGAAGCAGAGCATGGTAACCGCTCCCTCAAGAAGAAGAGAGGCCTGTTTTCAGAAAGAGAAGGAAAGCAGTGATGTTGAGTGCAGCCAAATACAGTGGTACCTCAGGTTAAGAACTTAATTCATTCCGGAGGTCCATTCTTAACTGTTCTTAACCTGAGGTACCACTTTAGCTAATGGGGCCTCCTGCTGCCGCCACACAATTTCTGTTCTCATCAGTGGCGTAGCGTGGGGGGTGCAGGAGGGGCCGGTCGCACCGGGCGCAACATCGGGGGGGGGGGGGCGCGCTCGCCGCCTCCGGAGTCGCCTCAGATCACCTGACATGGACCCGCCGCCGCCGCCGTGGCTACCTTACCATAAATACCCCAGCCCAGGCAGCAGCAAGAAGAAGCTGGCAGCGGCGGCAGGTTAGGGGTTAGGGGGCGCAAATTACTTGCCTTGCCCCGTGTTAGGGGGCACAAATTACTTGCCTTGCCCCGGGTTAGGGGGCGCAAATTACAGTGGTGCCTCGCAAGACGAAAAGAATCCATTCTGCGATTCTCTTCGTCTAGTGGTTTTTTTGTCTTGCGAAGCAACCCCATCAGCGGCTAAGCAGATTAGCGCTATTAGCGATTTAGCGGCTTAGCGGCTATTAAAGGCTTAGCGGCTAAGCTGTTAAAAGGCTATTAACGGCTTAGCGGCTTTGAAAAAGGGGGGGAAGTGGGGGGGGGAAATGGCGAGACTCGCAAGATGTTTTCGTCTTGCGAAGCAAGCCCATAGGGAAATTCGTCTTGCGAAGCGCCTCCGAAACGGAAAACCCTTTCGTCTAGCGGGTTTTCGTCTTGCGAGGCCTTCGTCTTGCGGGGCACTACTGTACTTGCCTTGCCCCGGGTGCTGACAACGCACGCTACGCCGCTGGTTCTCATCCTGAAGCAAAGTTCTTAACCTGAGGTACTATATCTGGGTTAGCGGAGTCTGTAACTTGAAGTGTCTGTAATTAACCTCATGCAAGTCCACAAAAGCATATGGCACCTTATATGGGCCTTCAAGAGGCCACAATATGTAGCGAACAAGACTAGCATGGCTGCCCAGCTGGAAACTGCCTAATATCCATGTTCACAAAAGAAATCTCCATTGCCCTAATAATAATCTATATATCACAAGAAGCTGAACTGACAAGAGAACACTAAAGCAAGTGTGTTGGAAACTCGCCTGGGTGCAGTTCTCAGGTTCACTGGGCTGGCTGCAGACAGCTATTTTGATAATTCCACATAATGAGTCCTACCTCAAAGGATTACTGTGAAGTTAAGGATTTGGTCAGGCGTAGGCAAACTTGGCCCTCCAGATGTTTCCCGTCATCCCTGACCATTGGTCCTGTTAGCTAGGAATCATGGGAGTTGTAGTCCCAAAACATCTGGAGGGCCGAGTTTGCCTGTGTCTAGATATGGTAAACACTGCTTTGGGGGACAGTGAGAGTAGTAGACCACATGGCCTAAGGCTACAAACATTCATATCGGCCTCCTGTGCCCTGGCTGCTAGGAATCACCATGCAAGTGTTCTTTCGTAGCACTGCTGGATGAGACAACAGTGGCACGAAGGTAGGCGGTGTCCCCTGGCATCAGTTTGCATCCTTACGCCAGACCACTGCAACCCTAAACATGGGATTAGCAAAGGGGTGCAGGGAACGGCAGCTCTCCCCCCATCAAGGTAAATACAGTGGTACCTTGGGTTACATACGCTTCAGGTTACATACGCTTCAGGTTACAGAGTCTGCTAACCCAGAAATATTACCTCGGGTTAAGAACTTTGCTTCAGGATGAGAACAGGAATTATGTGGCGGCAGCGAGAGGCCCCATTAGCTAAAGTGGTGCTGCAGGTTAAGAACAGTCTCAGGTTAAGTACGGACCTCCAGAACGAATTAAGTACATAACCAGAGGTACCACTGTAAATAGAAATACTTAACTAACTGACCAACTGCGTGGCAGATAACTCGGTTCTGCCCCCTCCCACATAAAGCCTGCTCCATTAAAATAAATCCTGGCTACACCCATTACCCTACAGTTCTGATGTTTTCCCCCCTATCACATTGTAACCCTAAGAAAAACGCACACCTCTTTTACCTAGATGCACAATTTTTTACTTACTCTTTGCTTGGAAGGTATCAGGGAGCTCAGTTCTCACTTGTTTACTCAAAGGTGTGTGTGTGTGTCTTCTGGTCTTTTAAAAGCTGAGGCGCAGAAAGCCCAGTGGGAGAAGAAACGGCACGTGCAGAATTCCCCCCCCCCTTTAATGTGACGCTGGTATAGTGGCTAAGCCCAATCACCCCTGCTTGCCATCTTGCCCTCTATTGCAAAACACTTAACTTGGTTTCTCTGTGCTGAACTGGCTCCTATTCATTTCTTGGGGGGGGGGAGGGGGGGAGGGAAGGGGACACCCAACCTCCCAAGAGCAAATCCGTCTCCCTTTCGCCCTTTTAGGATCATCAAGCGCTTACCTGCCAAGGTGCTTCTCAGGCAGCTTGCTCCGTGTCAAGGCTCCCAGAGTTTTCCCGCACTTGCTTTATACATTCCGATGATTCAGAGCTCAAGCACGAACCCCTGTCTGCTCCCTTGATCCCGTCCTCTCTCACCAGATCCGCTGATTCCAAGTCAGGCCCCTTATACCAGTTTGCCCCTTCGGCTTAGGGAAAGGGCTGTTCCTTTTTTTACTACACCACACCTATCCCCATCCCTTTATGGGAAGTGGGCAGATTTATTTCCCAAGCTACACAAATGGACTTGTCAGCTCCTCCCTGCATAGCTGGGGGGAGGGGGGGAGAGGGAGAGGCTGGGGGTGATTCTGGTGGGCTGAAAAAACATCTTTATTGCCAGCAGAAAGGATTGCTCCCCCCCCTTTTTTTTGCAAAGGTGAAAGGTCCATGGAGAGTGCCAGACTGCTGATAAGTAGGTCAATGTCTTCTTCCCTCTCCCTCTAGAAATAGACAATTTTGACTTCTCTGCAAGTATAAAGGGCAAACTACACCTTGTAACTATTTAAGGAGCTCCACCATTTATTTATTTTTAAAAAAAGTGGACTTGGGAATATACGGTTTCGAATGGAGGAAGAGGAGGAGGGGTGGAAGAAAGACTTGACCCTCAACCACTTCCCTGCTCAGAATTGCTCACCACCAATTCTGGAAAGGGAGCAATCTGAGTGGGGCAGGTTTGGAATGGAAAAAACAGCCAGTGGTACAGTCTCACCCAGGACTTTTCCACTCAAAATGGTCCCCTCCCTAAAGGAGCTTTTCATGTCCCTTTCTCCATGGTGTCCCAGATGTGCCTTTGGGAAGGGTAAATATTCTGGGGAGCAATTCTGAGAAGGGAAGTGGTTGAGGGTCAAGCACCCCTGTGAGCTCATTTACATGACATTTGTAGGTTTATTAAACCTGACCCCCTGACCATTAGGTCCAGTCGTGGCCGACTCTGGGGTTGCGGCACTCATCTTGCTTTATTGGTCGAGGGAGCCAGCGTACAGCTTCCGGGTCATGTGGCCAGCATGACTAAGCCACTTCTGGTGAACCAGAGCAGCGCATGGAAACGCCATTTACCTTCCCGCCGGAGCGGTACCTATTTATCTACTTGCACTTTGACGTGCTTTCAAACTGCTAGGTTGGCAGGAGCTGGGACCGAGCAACGGGAGCTCACCCCGTCGTTGGGATTCGAACCGCCAACCTTCTGATCGGCAAGTCCTAGGCTCTGTGGTTTAACCCACAGTGCCACCCGTGTCCCCTTGTAGGTTTATTAATTGTTCCCAAATCCCACACTCCCTTCTGCTAGAGCCTGGGGCAGCTACCAACAATCTTAATATGCAATACAAATAGTATACAACATTAGTTAAAACAGATCAATGGCAACCTTTAAAACACAAGGCAGCAGATAATAAGCTCTTACCTGTTAAAATGTCTGCAGCTAATGACCAAAGGCCTGGGGTGTGTGTGTGTGAAAAACTCAATTTCAGTTCGGAGCGAATTCCATAGTTTGAGGGCAGCCTCTGAGAAGTTCCTTCCTTGTGCCATTGTCCTATGGGATTTTCCACTGATGGTACCAAGAACAGGGCCTCTCTGGCCCATGCTTTAATGTCTTCAAGAGTACTTGAAGGAGTACCTGTGCTTAGACTGCAGATAATATATGACCTTCTGCACCAAGACTTTGAATTGAGCCTAGGCAGCCAGTGCTGTGAGCTCTAAGAAACAGTGCAATGGGATCTCTATTTGCTATCAATAGCGACGTGGGTGGCGCTGTGGTCTAAACCACTGAGCCTCTTGGGCTTGCCGATTAGAAAGTTGGTGGTCTGAATCCCCACGATGGTGGTGAGCTCCTATTGTTCTGTCCCAGCTCCTGCCAACCCAGCAGTTCGAAAGCATGCCAGTGCAAGTAGATAAATAGGTACCACTGCGTCGGGAAGGTAAACGACGTTTCCATGCGCTTTGGTTTCCATCACGGTGCTCTGTTGCGCCAGAAGTGGTTTAGTCCTGCTGGCCACATGACCCGGAAAGCTGTCTGTGGACAAACACCGGCTCTCTCGGCTTGAAAGCAAGATGAGCACCACAACCCCATAGTCGCATTTGACTGGACTTATCTGTCCGGGGGTCCTTTACCTTTTTACCTACTTGCTATCCCATGTAGAAACCTAGCAGTGGCATTCTATGCTGGCTGCAGCCTCCAGACTATCTTGGAGGGCAGCCCCATGTGGCAGCCATTACAGTAGTCCAGCTGAGAGTGTAGATCACGGGTTCCAGGCTCCCCCTGTCCGCAGATGGCTGTAGCAGGGGAACCAACCAGAGTTGGGGATAAACACTCCTCCAGTCACTGCACAGAATCGGGGTGTGTCCAAGCTGCATATGTGCTCCTGCACGGGGAGTCCAATGCCTCCAGAACAGGCTGTCTCCCTAATTCCCAGACCTGGGAACCTCCTATCCACATCACCGTGTTCAGCTTCATTTTTTTAAACCTTATCCAGCTCATCGGTGCCTCCAGACACTGGTCCTCTATTGGCACAGCCTCTATTGGCATAAGCAAAATCTCCCAGAGCATTCTGTAAACCCCTTGGAATTTCCAGTCTCCAAGTCTGGACCATCCTTTGGCCTGTTCATCTCATCTCTCTCCTGCCTCCCATCAGAGACTGTGTCCTGAAAATGTACACCCTTTGTGAGGTAATGATCTGATCATAAAGGTGACATCTACATCCCCTGTCCTCAGGCTGCCTGTTTCCATGACAGCGTAATACAACAAATCCAACATAGTACTTGTCACATGTGTCCTACATGTGTAGTAGCCCTACACACAGGCTTGCCCCAGCTTAGCAACTGAGTAACTAATGCTAGTAGGGTCCTACTCTTCAGGTTACAGACTTCACTAACCCAGAAATATCCCAAGGGCCCTACTCTGGAGTGGTCTCCTAGACTACATCTTGCTGTTAGGATGTGAAGTTGTGAAGAAATGTGGATGCAACATTAAAAGCTGTAACATTAAAAGCCCTGAGCAGATTGGGCCCAGGATACTTGAATAAAAACCTGCACTCATGCCAACCTGTCCATTTACTGAAATCAGTGTTGGAAGACTTAGGTGTCCACCTGTGAAGATGATTAGGTTGGTGAGCACCCTTAATAGAGCCTTTTCATTGGCTCGGCAACAATGGAACTCCATCGCTTTGTAGGCTCTATGTAGAGAGGATTGTTAGCAGCATAAAGGTAAAGGGTAAAGGGACCCCTGACCATTAGGTCCAGTCGCGGACGACTCTGGGATTGCGGCGTTCATCTCGCTTTATTGGCCGAGGGAGCTGGCGTACAGCTTCCGGGTCATGTGGCCAGCATGACTAAGCCGCTTCTGGAGAACCAGAGCAGCGCCCGGAAACGCCGTTTACCTTCCCGCTGGAGTGGTACCTATTTATCTACTTGCACCTTGACGTGCTTTCGAACTGCTAGATTGGACGGGAGCTCACCCTGTCGCGGGGATTCGAACCGCGACCTTCTGATTGGCAAGTCCTAGGCTCTGTGGTTTAACCCACAGCGCCACCCGTGTCCCATGTTATGAGCATAAATGGCCCCAAACCCAACCCTTTCAGACATATGTCCTACAAGAAACCTGCCAAATAACGAAATGGGTATGAGAAGCAACTCCAGAACTAGCCCTAGTAAACATCTGCCAAGACAACAATGCACACTCACCTTACAAAGAACTCATAAGCCACCTACTCTCAGCAGCGAGGAGCGTCATAACTAAACACCGGAGGGACCTGCCACTGCTCCCAAACTGTATGGGAAATGGCCCTACTAGAAAAGTTAAGCAACAAATTGAAACTAGCAGAGGGACAGACAAAAGAAGATGCCGTAACACTGGTATGGCTCCCCTTTATTACATATACAGCCCAGCAAGACAACAACATAAACCCTGCAACAGCATACCAATTGATGTGGCTAACTTGACTCAACCACCTTCCACCCACTCTCCAGTGAGCACTCTTGAGAGTCCCATGGACTGCAAGAAGATCAAACCTCTCCATTCTGAAGGAAATCAGCCCTGAGTGCTCACTGGAAGGACAGATCCTGAAGCTGAGGCTCCAATACTTTGGCCACCTCATGAGAAGAGAAGACTCCCTGGAAAAGTCCCTGATGTTGGGAAAGATGGAGGGCACAAGGAGAAGGGGACCACAGAGGACGAGATGGTTGGACAGTGTTTCAAAGCTTCCAGCATGAGTTTGACCAAACTGCGGGAGGCAGTGGAAGACAGGAGTGCCTGGCGTGCTCTGGTCCATGGGGTCATGAAGAGTCGGACACAACTAAACGACTAAACAACAACAACAGCTCAGTTTAAGGTGAGTGAAAAGCAGCAGGCATCATTGTCCAAGGAAAACCATGCACACCCTTCCACTACCATAGCAATTAAAGCTATGCTTTTCAAAGAGCCTCGAGAACGCATGCTGGGCTTATCTTTGCACATGTCACTCAGCATCAAGGCAGCCTTGAGATCTACCAGACTTCGCAGAAACGTAAGACAGATTTCTTAATGGGACTGTCTGGTCTGGAACCCTTTTGGGTTCTGCCTCCTTTGTTACAAACAGATCAGCGTGTACTTTAGAAAACCCCTTTCAAGCGAAGGAGCGTCATCGGGTATTGCCAATGCTGTTCAACCCTGGTGAATACTGAAAGGTAATTTCTTCCGCAGCAACAATTCTGGAAAAACAAAGCCCAGGCAGAAATAGGGCAAAAAGAGGCGTACCTCAGATTACGGACACATTTGGTCAACTTGTCAGACACGACAGAAGACTATAGGTCGATACAGTTAGATGCTTCAGAATGCCCAGCTGTCTGATTTAAAATATATTTATTTATATTTATAAAACTCACGTGTCCTAAGTGCTCAAGTTGCTTCATTCAGCACTACCCAGAGGTCCTTATGACAATCCAGTCAGCTTAAAATAAACAAGTATTATTTTATTTCCAAAATAAAACAAACAATCAAAAAGTTACACCATATAAATACTAACAGAAGGTGATGGTACATTTAACATATTTCTCCTCTGTAAGTATCTAGGTATCCATTATGCACTGGCAACTTGGAGATTTTGTTTTACTTCTTCGTAATATTGCAATTTCTACTTAAGCTCTTTCCGCACAATCTGTGGAAAGCCTTTGATACGTGTCCCTGATTTGTATACGAGATAAAACCACACCACACTCCATGAAAATTAGTTATTTTAGTTTTGTCTTTAGCTAATTTACGTTGGTAAGTATTTTTTTT